TATAAAATGATCTCATGGGCCGGATATAATTACACGCCGGGCCGGATGTGGCCCGCGGGCCTTGAGTTTGACACATATGATGTATGATAAAAGAAACCTTTGTCCATGTTCATACCACAGGAGACTAAATCTCTTGATGAACAGTATTAACTTGTTTCATTTTAAAATTCATCTTAAATTTTAAGATGGGAATTTAAAGGGCCATCCCTATTATTTTTTAACACTGCCATTTCTGATATCTAACTGATGTCCCTATGTCTAAAACTGGCCTGTTTGGCCTGTTTAGAGTACAGCTGGGCATTGCTGGCAAACAACGGCATTTATCATCTTGGGAAATAAGCAGAGATATGAATCTCTGTTATTGTAGATCACATTATTAAATGGCTTGAATGGTAGGGCAAAATACTTAGAGAAAAATCAAACTTTAGTATGATTTGCATACCTGTGAATATTTGCAGAGTTCAAGGAAACTTTGCTATAGCCTACATTTATGCCACATTCTTATCTAGATTCTTTAGTTGCGTGAACTAAATATCCACAATCACAGTTCCAATAACAATTTTACTTAGTTCTGCTTTCCCTATGCCAGGACAATATGCTGAGAATTTGCGCAGTGACATAGATTTTTAAAATGGTTAATTATTATTAGGAATTAGCTACAATGGCTGAATAAATTGTCCAAAATAACTCAGTAATTAAAAAGCAAATCTCATGAAGAATTGGATTTTAATTGGATTATAATTTTATACATGAATTTATACGACATCCTGAAATTGGTTTTTTTAGAGTCTACATTTTAATTTTATGGAAAAACAGATTTCTAATACAATACAATTAATGTATTGTAGTTTATTGTTTTAAATAGGGATTAATACTATGTTAATCAGGTATTTTTAGTTTAAAATTCAGTAAGAACTTTTGGTTTCTGTTTTTAGTATTGATATGATATATTTCACAATATTATAAGTGGTTAATAGTATTTTAGATAATAGCAGAATTTATGATACTGTATTTTAGACCTTTCGGTATCTGCCTGCATCTCATTATTTGTACTTTGCTTTCATACTTCCTTTGTATGTTTTTTATTTCCCTTTGCTTATATTCTTGTCTAAATATGTTCTATAAAAAAGAAAACAGAAAGGAAAAAAATGAATTGGCTGTATATGTTACCTTGGTTAAAAATGGGGATCAAGTGGCTCAGTGTGTCCTAGTCAATTTATTTATGTGCCGCATTTTCCACTTGCTGAGTGTGTGAACCACTTTTGAGTAGAGCAAGCAATTTAAATTCCAGCAAAGCAAATCCATCAGTTTGCATTAACTCTACTACAGTTCATTTAAAATACCCTGTAATTCAAATAAGCAGAAAGCAGCTCATTAACAATATGTACTTCCAACAATATCAGCATTGCAATCACTAAGCATTTCCTTTAACATTTGACAATACAACAGCCCCAACAATAAAATTCTTTGTCCATACCAAATAAAAAATAGGTTAAATATTAGACACATGAAACAGTAATCACAGGATACTTTACACAACCCAAAAGACAATCTTCTTCTCCTAGTCCCACACACTGAGCTAACAGTTCACCCTCATTCTCACGGTAAGTCCTCTAGACAGCAGAACAGCTGGAAGAACAGGATCAAACACAACATTCCCCCTGGGATGGGGAAATGGAACAGCTGGTAGAAGCAACCAAGTCTTGTTGTCAAGCTCAGAATTAGTCTTTCTACCATTAACATTTTTTTCTAGAGGTATCTCCCTTAAGCTACTGACCTATAACTCCCAATGGTCTCAACCAATATGGCCAATGGTTAGATATGCTTGGATGTAGGTCATCAACATCTGGAAGGCTGGTTTTCATTCAACTGTATTCATACAATATATTAGGAAGTGGTTCAGAAAACGTGGCTACTGTCACACTAGGTACATTCAAGATAATGAACGTTGGCCTGCATATTTGAGTATAGGGCAGCACCCTGAAGTCACTGAAGTTGGGTCAATGGGCTCCTGATTTAGGGGTATGTATGTTCAAATATTTCTAGCATATATTAATTCCTGTCATATAGCAAACTAGTACATTAGGGAAAAGGGACAGTATAACTCTGTGATATCTACTTGATTACATACAGACAGTTTTGGCATGGAACAAAAATTAAAATCTAGATGATATGTGAAAAAAATATTGCAGGAAATGAAAAGGAAACTATAAAATAAGTGATACATTTTTTAAAGAAAACCCAGCCAATATTCCTTTCACTAAGTATAAGACAGATTAAGGTTTTAAGAGCAAACAGTTGCAAGATCAAGCTCAGGAAATACTTAAAGTTTTAAAGTTTCATTTATAAGGATAGTTAATTTTTTTTTTAAATGGCTTCTAACAGGCTTATCTGATATTTCTCAGTATTAAAACATGGAGTCTGATGCTGAAATAACTTCAGAGCAAAAGCTTCCAGCATTTTGAAAAAATGGTTTTTAAAACCACTTCAAATTGCCATAATTCTGTAGACAAACTCTCTGTATGGACTTGCAGCCCCTTCTCTTTCCTTTGTTCAGTGTAGAGAAATATTTAGCTATTCTGGTGTTTCAGCTTAGCAATTCTTCCAAGACATCCTATTAAATAAGATGAGAGTCAGTTGTCTTCTTTATTAAGTATTTGTTTTAATTTGTGTGCTCTTTCTACTGACAGAGAGTAATTTTTGTATGGCAGGGAAAACTCATTAGGGATCTTTATTGTGACTTCTACAGCCTTCTTTATTAAACTGTCTAAAACAAATTCCACTATACGTGATTTGAATTTGATTGAATGTGTGATGTGGGGGGTCAGTTCCCCAACTTCATTAAAATGTGAGAAATCATGTATTTGAATATATTATCATTGCTAATCACTGCAAAATTAGATGCTTGATAAAAAAAAAAAACTGAGTTGGCCTTTATTCCAACAGGGAAGGCACCAAGTCCAATAATCAGCCATGTTTATCACATGGAATTGATGGTGATTCTGCCTGGTTTCTAAGTGGCATAATCTGATTTCCTGCTAAATAGAATGAATAAAGTCACCAAGAATCAAGCTCCTTCTTGGCACCTTACCTTTAATTTCTATTCTACACAACTGTATTCTGTGCTACAGAATACACAGAATCATACAGTTCGGTGTAGCATTTAGGATGATAAATTTTACTTCTGAAACATCTTAAGTAACGTTAACAAAAATCAATCCAAATATGTAAACCAGTCCTTCTGCCTTTCTTCTCATATTCATGCCAGCTCAGTCTCACATGTTGCAGGTATTAGAAGAAAAATTAGCAGGCATATGGGGGCTGAAAATGAAGGTTTGAAGCTGAGTTGGATACCAACTGTCATAGTCACTAACTTTTCCCCAGTCTAGTCTATCAGCTGTTCTTCGTTCCATTTTATACAGATGTCTCTGATGCAGTTGGCTGGTGTGTGCTGTGGGGGCAAATACCCCATTCCCCAGTCCTTGATCTCTGCTGCCAACAGCTCATTCCTACTTGACTGCTAAGCTACTTGCCGAGAAAGGGTGCATATTTTTTTGCTGCTTCAATAGTGGAATCTTTTAAATGGGTGAAACTAACAAGAGTTGAGGCTTTCTCAGAAAAGGGATGGCACCCCTTTCCTGGCATAGATGGGAGAGAAAAATAATCAGAGAAATTCATCATTACAGGGGCTGAAGTAACCGTAATCCAGAGAGAACACCTGGCCACCACTGAGACTAAAAAGGAGGAAGAGATTGAAATCCAGGAAGGGATGTCTTAAGACAGCATTTCCAGCTGGTGTATGTATAGGAGACAAGCAGTTGAAGGCTGCAGTGCAGAAAAGCCCTTAATGTCTGTATTGAAGAATGTTTAAGTGATGCACCTATATCAGTATGTAAGTAAGCAGGTACATCTTCAATTTAATCCAGTCAGAACCATGTAGAAATGCTGTATGCATTAACTGATGCCATTGTTTGAAGATTTTGTTACATCCTTGAGACTGCAACTGCTCTTTGGTGAAACAGTCACAATTAGGCAAATGTTTGAGAACAGAATCAGGCCAATTGGCATATCCAGACAATTTAGGTTGGGCTTTGAATCCATTATACTAAAACTTTTCAGTGTGAACTGAGGTTTCAAAAATGGTCTTGCACCATAAAATGCCGAGTCATAAGGATAATTCAGCACAGAGTGGTTGCATAATATAAAAAGCAGATGGGTAGACAAGACATTAGTATACTCTCCAATTTAATTTTGAAGGGTGTAAACCACATAATATTGGCTTTACATGTAAAGCATATAATATTGTAAGATTGGCTTCATGAGATTCACTATTGATGGAAGA